TCCCAATCCTCTCATTGTTTCCCCAAGATAAAATTGTAATAGAGTGGAGTACATCTGTAAGGAATGGACAAAAAATAATTTGTATCTCATATCATTTTAGAATAAGTATACGTCCCATAAGGGAGGTTTCAAACTGCTCACACAATAGGTATGTATACTGCTCTGTGTGAAATCAAATCAGTATTCTAAAATGCTGCCAAGAAGCAGGTCGAGATACTTGGAAGACTCTTAAGATTTAAAGTATATGACACTTTACAATAATTATCTTACAAACATACACACATTTCTCTCCATATACAGAAAGTAATATTAAATTAAGCTAAGTATTTTACATGATTTAAACACCGCTTCGCATTTTCTAATAAAACATTTGTCACGTAAAATCACAGATGATACTCGCTACTTCATAGAGCTACCAAAAAAAAGAACTGCTCCACTGTCAAGCAGAATAAACATAAAATAAAAATTTTAAACTAGAGGCTTATTATTTATAGACCAACAATATCCAAAATTTTCAATCCTTCAAAACTCTCTCTGATCCTTTGTAGAAAGGGGGAAAATGTACAATGTAGAAATAATTAAACAAGAAGTAATTATAATTAAGTGTAATAGTTAAATAACACAAAACACATACTAGCACTCTCTTCCAGAAGATGTCTATAGATTAAAAAAGTGAGAACTAGATAAACTATTCATGAGACAATGAATACTGAAAATATTGCTCAGAAAATGTGAATATTTATAATCAAAACAAAACATGGTCTAAAAAGTTAGTAACGTTTATATCATTACAGAAATACTTGCAAATACTCTTCTCACATTTATATTCTATTCTTTCCAAATAGAACACCACATTCTATGTACATCACAATAACAAACTGAATTACAATGGCATGAAAATGGAGAAATGTCTGATCACAAATTTTAACTTTGATGTTGACATCCTAATTTAAAAGCTGGATTTTCCCGTGCTTCCATTAATGAGCCACGGAATCAATAAAGTCATTTGACCTTATAATTCTACTTTTAAAATCTATGTTTCACAGTTTCCATATTTCTTAATATTTGTTTTAATACAAGATATTTGACAGAGAGTTAACACAGTACTTTTGATGTACTATTTCCGAAAAAGTTAAATACTTTCGGATTAAGGATATGGACGAGTATCAAATCAGATTAGACTGCTGAAAGGATAAACTTTTTCTTTCATGTTGACGAAATGTGTCATTTTATGACATGGTAATGCCCAATAAAACGAAAATAAGATTTTAAAAAGCTAGGAGGTAAAAGAATCACTACTGCAACTATGTAGAAGGAAAACAGGATTACATTTATTGGCTAGTATATCAACTTAACTTCTCATAAAATCCTCCTGATCTACTAAATAACTTCAGAACTGAAGTATGCTCTCCTATGGGAGTTATAAAATTAGATACAATTACAACTCAATACAAATAAAAAAACCAACCTATTTACCCTGAAGACAATTTTTGTTTTAAAGCTTTATCATTTAAATTACACCAGAATTTTCCCTGATGAATAAAGTGAGCCATTTGACATAATTGATTTTTATATTATGTTTTCTATAGAGAAAAATAGTTGATATGAGTAAATTCTGGAAAACTGTGGTAACTACACCTCCCCAAAGTGAATACAACAAACATCTGTTGCAAGAACTGCTTGCCTTTCAGACAGTATGTAAAGGGTGTTCTTTTTCCCAGTGTTTTGCTATTTAAAAAAAAAAAAAAAAAAAGTTTATTTGTTAAAAAACATGTTTCTGCTATCAATTCTCAAGACCTAAAATCTAAAATCTTAAAATTCTGGTAAGTCAAACACAGGTCATTACCAGGTCTATTACAGAAAGAGAAACTATGCAATGTACAAGACTCCACTTGTATTCTAAAAGGGTAACAAAATAATTGGGCATATTGCCCTCTGTCTGCGGGTTACAAAGTAATTTTAACCATTGTCTTCCTATCTTAACTCAGTTCTCTATAAACATAGCAATGCTCAAAGCATAGAAGAGGGCACTCAATATAAAACTTCCTGATGACTTTCATCCTCTGTTGGAATCTCAGGGATAATTCAGCTTTCTTCTTTGGATTTCTACTGGCTTCTAAACTCAAAAATATCCTGGTATCCTCATTAAATGATAAATGAATTCTTAAAGTTTTACTCCAGTGACAGGATAAATAATTGCAAAATTTTTGCATAATACATTAAGCACAAAATGTAATAATTTCAATGGGAGGAGGGGAAGACTCAATGCGCCTTTATGACTCATTGTCTTTTCTTAACTGCATCAAGGAACTGTTCAGTGATTTTGGTAACCAGAACACATTCTCCTTGATTCTGAAAGAACAGAATTTTGCTTAAAATTCACAGGTACTTTGCAGAGTAAAACACCATTGTTTCAGCATTTGGAAATTCCACAAAGTACACACAAATCAGTAGGTTCAAATGAATACACACGGTTATAAGCAACAGAGCACAGGGCACATGATAGCTTTACGATAAGGAAAGGAGGAGTAATAAACAGATGACGACTTCTAAATGTATTTCAAGTAACGTGAATGTGCTCACTTTTCAATCTTCTGTCTCCTCTTCTACTCAAGCCCACTCCCAACCATTTTGACGTTATTATTTATAAAAAGTTTAAGGTTCAGTTTCACAATTCCATTTTTATGCTAACAATGAGGTATTGATTTAATCTCTAAAACAGTCCTGGGAATATTTCAACAAGGCATCATAACACACCATACTGAGAAACCTCTGTCATTCAAGAAATAGGAAATATAGCAAGTTTCCAGTTCTCTTCCAGCCAAATCCAAAGTAAGTATGAGCACTTCATTATGTTTCGACACACTTCAAGATCCATAATGGAATTTGTCCATGTATTCGATTAAAGCAGTCTAACGTTAACATGCACCTGCATAGCATGTGTTTATATAATCATAGGGAAGATGTTCTACCTAAAGCAGTCCTCAAAATGGTATTTGCAAATTCCATGACAAGAAAAAATTTTGAAGAAAATTCATTTAAAACTGATATAAATAAAAAGGAAAGTCAAAGTCACATATGTTCCAGTATATACAAGTTTAGTTTTCAAACCATATCTATGATTATTCTACATTTACAACCTCTGTCTTACTAAAAGATGAATCACAAAAAGATATTTGCCCTTTTCCTAGGAGAGAGAGCCAGCCAACACACACAAGGCATACTCAGAAGCAATTAATTGTTAAAAGTTTCCTTTATTCAATGTGACAGTCTTTAATTCCTATGGAGGATTACCATGAGTCACATACGAGGTTTTAAAGAACACATTAATTGCAATTTTATGATGTCTACAGAAAACAGAGAAACAGTTTCTTAAATTTAAAAGAAAAAAAAAATTCTTTTCAGCTATTGTATATACCTTGAATAAAATGATGTAAAATTGTAACGTCACTTATATCTATTTCATATTATGACTTTTATTATATGTGTATTACTGTCTGTGTGTTCTGTAATACATATATTTCCCACAATAAATCTCAGAATAACAATGCATTTTCAGCAAAGTACCATATAATCATAAACTAATTTAACACTCATAACTACCCATCATAATATACTATTATATCTATTCTACAGACAGGAAAACTGGTGCTGAGAACTTAAAAGACTTACTTAAGGTTTTAAGAAAAGATCAGGAAGCCACCACAATTACAATGCTAAAGATCTGCCCATTAATAATTCTCTGAATAAATCTGTATTGCTATTTTTTATCTTAATTACCTAATATTATCTATAAGGTATTTCACAAAAGCTAAAAAGGAAAAAGGTGCTAACTACTTAATGCTGAACGATGCAACTAAAGATAGACATGAGCTCTGTTTAATAAGAAATTCTTGCCTTCTTTACTATTTTTCTAAAATGTAAACGAAAATTCTCTATATAAGGTATTTCCTTCTACTTACTACTTTAAACTTCAAAGTGATTATCCAAATTAATCCCACTTACTTATCATAGAAAATTGCATTATTCTCATTTTACAGGTGAGAAGACAGGCACAGGAAGAAAGCTATTTGCCCACGGGTCCCACATTAAGTGTGAGGGAGGTTTGGCATTAGAACATGTTCTGTCCTTGGCTCCTCATCCATTTCTCAGACTAAAGGGCAGTGTCATTCCTATTAATCATCTTATTGCAAAGTCACTAAAGGAAGCACACAATTTTATGAAGGAGGAGGGAGAACATACCCGGAAATTACAGGTGTAAAGGAATACATTAAAAGTTTTGATTTCACTGTACTTAGGTTAAAATTCACTCTAAGTTTTAAAAACTATTCACATATCTTATTACTTTAGTACCATGAATCAAAAGCTCTGCTGAATGAGACACTGATTGTTTGCCCAGAATTGGTCTCATGCTTTTATAGGAGAGATAAGAGCTAAGAAATGAAATTAAATGAGGAAGATAAAGAATAGGTCCATATTAAAACACATTTGGTAGCATAGAACCTGCAAGATAAGACATCAATTTTCAGCCTGGCTGATTACAGAACAGGAGCCACTGCTTCTAGTCAACAGTGAGCACTTCAGAGGGACAAGAACATGACATTTGAGGGCAAGTGATGCATGGTAATACGCACGAGGCATTCCTTGAAAAGCTGGAGAAAAGAAGAATGAACTAAGTAAGCTAGCGGGGTAAAAAAAAATGTTAAATGATCAGGCCTTTAGCTCTTTAAAATAGATAAGAAAAATATTCAGATAAGTCCTCTGACTTGTGCTAAACAGTTAAAAAAACAATCTGTGCTCTCCAAATGGGGTTAGGTATGTAAATCATAATTTCTATTAGATTGATATGGGTTTTCCGTTTTCTAAGAAAACTAAGGCTTCACATTGAAAACAGCGTAACCAGCATATCCTTAATCATAAGGCATCTTTTCAGATTCCAACGTGGCAGCAAAAAGTGCAACAAACAAGAATGACAGAGTCGTCATGCGAATGAGACATACCTCTTGCACTGATCGAGCTGCTGGCTTGTCTTGATGGTTGGCCAATATTAAAAAGGGTAAAGTGCATAACTGTGGGTGCTGAAGAGCTGAGTGCAGTTCATTTCTAGCAGTTTCTAAGTCATCTTCTGAAGAGGCACTGTCTAATACAAATATCACCCCTTGAGACCCTTGGTAGTAGCGGCTCCAGTATTTCCGGATATTATCAGCTCCTGTCAAAAGCAAAACATATTCTCTTTTTAAAAATAGCTTTTAGCAACCGAGAAATGTTCCCAACAACAATTCCTATTGGAAACCAATGTCGCTTTTAAAAATTAAGTGCAGAGATCACAAGCTGATGAGAACAAAGAAGGCATTAGAGCCAATAGGTGGATATGGCTTTGAAGGAGAACACAAAAGTCTGAGTCATTCTTCATGTCTTTCTTATCAAAATACGTGAGAAAAAACCAGGATAAATACTTCCTAGACTTAAACTCAAAAGAATGTTTTCAGATTTTGCTCAGCAGTCCAGGACAAAGTACTGTCTCTACAAATTAAGTCTGAGCCTAACTCAGAGCAGCGTAACCCAGTTGGTTCACCAAGGCTTCTCTCCACACCATTAACATTATCTTGGTGACTTGTTCTAAAAGAACTGCTTGCTGATCAGGATAGCCTTAACTTCATCTAGAAAATTAAAACTATTAGCACAGTACCTTCATGCATCAAAGTGCTGAAATTTGTGACAAACTAAAATCTTGGCCTTTGGTACATTTGCATAACCCCATTTGGTAATGAGCACACTCTTGGTCTCACGATATTACGGGATGTTCATAAAAAAGACATTGAGATTCTCATCAGCCCAGGTCACGTCTTATTCTTTGTATTTTCAACATCCAGCACAATGTATAACTCCAAGTTCATTACAGGAATGAGGAAAATGAGGGAAGGAGGAAATGAAATTATATAATAATTAGGCTTTAGGTATTTCGAGACTAGAAGAAACTTCAGAGACTGTCCAATCAGACGCTCTGAGGACACTGGGGCCAAGAGAGGTGACGTGACTAATCCCCATTCATGTATCTAGTAAATCACAAACTTGAGATTTGCATCTGGGTTAGTAGACAACCTGCCCAGGGAAGGGATGGGCATTTCCCACTGCATCATCATGACTACTTCCTTTACTTTGATTCATGAAGAGCATGGGCAATTTGTGTGTGTGTGTGTGTCCTGTATGAGGGGGGTGGTTATTGGTTATATAACAAAAAATCGACTTCAAGGAATTTCACCAATTTAGTGCATATGATCAAGTCCTGACCAGTTAATAACTACGTTTGAGTCATCTATTGAACATCTAGCTCCTATGCTGGATATACTGTGCTAAGTGGTAGGGATTCAAAAGGTGGAGATTGGAGTTGGTGTGCTCTGGCTGGTAAGGGCCAATTGTGTGCATCTCTTCCCAACATTGTGTTCAGTGACATCATATTGGTAGCTTGAAATTGGATACGGTGCGGATATTTTCACCCTGGAAATCAGCAAAAGGTATATATCAGGTCTTTTCTTCCCCTGGAGAGCTAACACAACACTGGATGACAATGAGAAGCTCATATTTTTCAGGGAGAAATAGAAAAAAAAAACCAAAAGATTATAATACAGTGTAATAAAGCACTGTGATAGAGGTACTCATTAGGTGCTCTGGGAGCAAGAGATGAAGCATCTCACCCAGACTGGGCAAGTCTCTTAGAGTAATATCAATAACTAAACAATTACCATATATTAAGCACTTCCTACATTCCAGGCATAGTGCTAAGTGTTTTCAAAAGAATAGTTCATATAATTCTTACAACAACCCTAAGAGGGAGGTGTAATTGACTCAGGCTTTGACACTAATTTTCAGATTCTAAAATCTGGGGTATTCATCATAATACTATACTGAATTAACCAGGTAGATAAGAAGATCAAAGGCATTTGATGTCAAGTAACCTTAAATATGCAAACACATAGGATATGAGCAAGGTTGAAGCATAAAGCAGAGTCCAACCAAGAAAACAAAACAAACAAAAAAAACCCCAACAAAACAAAAAATGAAAGAGGGAGAGGAAATTTAAGCCAGAGATTACTAACAAAGGAATTAGTTACATAAGTGATGGTAGAACTAAGAAAACAACAGGGGTACTGAGATTAGCAGTATCTTAGGTCAGGTTCCCTAGATGCAGAGCCCAAGATGATGTTTTTTGTACACCTGATTATAGACAGAGTGCTGTCAGGAGAAACTAAGAGAGAAAGAAGGAAGCTAGAATGGGGGAAGGAGCTAGGCAAAGACATGGTTTCAGAAATCTAGCCTGAGCTTGATCTCATGAAGAACTCTAGAGCAGGGACTGAACCATAGAAGTTGTCCAGTCCAAAGGCAAGGGGTCTGGGTTGTTATACCCCTCTACAGTCATTGGCTGTCAGCCACCCCTGGGGAACGGGAGGGAGTTGGGGTGTGATCTTATAATCTCCCAAACATGTATGGTTGAGGCAATTACTGTCAGCCAAGGGCAGGCCTCTGGAGAACGGTACAGGTGTGAGCCATTAGCAGCCAATGCCCGCAGCAGCTGGGAGATGGATGCACTGGCCCAGTAAAGGAGATCTGAGTAGGATACCAATAGCATCTGCTACAAGCTACATCCAGACATTATCCATATGCTGAAGAACCATCCACAAGCTTGAGGAGCAAAAGTAGAGGCAGTGTTACCTGGTAGTAAATGCTCAGAACAACAAAAATATCGTGTGTGTAGGTATCCATACATAAGTTTATTATAAATTTTATTAACCATAAAGGACGTGTAGCACTCAATTTTCACATAATAAGAATATATGCAATATACTTTATTGTAAATTCTATAGAGCTCATTAATGCTCACAGAATGCTTTCGTTGATTTTGCTGAATTTTTGTATCCATAGCCAGACAATGGTTTCAATTGACCAAGTGTAGTCCTGAAACAAATATTGGTTGTGATAAGTGTTTTACATGTGTTAACTCATTCAGCCCATGACAATCTTATGAGGTAGATACTGTTATCACTCTCATTTTATCAATAAGGAAATCAAGACACAGAACAATTACATAATGTGCCCAAGGTTACACACCTAAAAATATATTTAAGTCTAATGTGATTGAAATAGAAGGATCATTGACCAGAAAGGTGATGAAACTAAATGAAGAACCACAAAAGCTAAGAGGGGGAAAAAAAGGAACCTGTTAGAATAAAAAGTACCTAAGTGCCTATATATATATTAATGCTCATAGTGGGAACATGTCCAAGAACGTTTCCCAACCAGTTAATTCAATGAATAGTTATTAAGTACCTATTTTGTACAAGTCACTGAGCTAGGACCTATAAGAAATATTTAGAAAGCCCTTATTCCTCTTAGCTCTGGTCAGATATTTTAATGGAACTTGTCCATTGGAAATACATGGAACATACTGGAAATCCAACTCGTGAGGTCATCTCTTTCAACAAGCAACTCTATTTTCATCTGCCACAATTAGAAGCACATAAGGCACCTGAAAACAGTGAGATGAACTGACAATAAGTCCAATGACTGTGTTGGTGGATGAAACAAACCCAAAGAGAAATACCATGACTTTTAAAAATGGCCTTATATGACATAATATACGAATAATACATTATTATTAATAGCAAAAAGACCCCTTTCTTTAATTTCCTGCTACCCAATCTTAGCATTTCTAACTTTCATTACAAACACCAAGCTTGGAATTCTAAATTCCAGTTCAGATTCCTGCAAAATGGCTTTAGTCAGCAGCAGCGTAAACCCAGACTGGGGCCGAGGAAACCAGCAATGGGGTGAAGGGTGATATACAGTTGTTTGGTCCAGCTGAGTGGATCTCAGTTTAGTCACCAGATTAAAATGAGAAAGGGATGTGTCATCAACCCAGATACCAGGTGCTTTGAGAAGTGAGCCTAATTGGGAAAATTACGAACACCTGTTTGATGCCCACATCCCAGCATTCCTAACCCACAAACCAAATCCAAAAGGAGTTACAAACACAGGACGTCACATCTAACAGCAGTCTAAGGCCACTCTTCCTCTATTGACTGAAAATTGTGTGCTCCGTGTTGCTTAAATTGTTACATTGTGATTTAAATACAAAGCGGTAGTCTCAACAGTAGAGAGGTTGGATTGAGGGTGTTTCCAAATGTCCTGATTACCCAGGGTCCAATACTGCCTTACTACAAGTTGGAAAGAGCCCTTGGGAATCTAAGAGTTCATTCTGAGAGCCAATCAACCACGACAGCCTGATTCAAGGCACTACAACAAGAGCAGAGAGAAGAGACAGGAGCATAACATGTCCTCATTGTGCAGGTTCATTTCTACGGCACACTTTGGACTTCAACAACATTCTCTCATTATTCATTAATTCATTCATCTAACAGATATTTACTAAGCACCTGGCACCATCCCAGGTGCTGGGGACACAGCAGTAAATGAAACAGACAAAAATTTCAGTCTTCATAGTGCTCACATTCTTTACCAGCCCAGCCAGCCTACCCTTAGAGATGTTAAAAATGCCAAGTACTAATTTTTCCAGCCTTTTTCTCTTGCAGCATGGACAAATGATTCAGTTCTGGTGAACTGGGACTTACCAAAGGTCTGCTGGGAGCTTCTGGAAAAGATTTTGCTCAATAAAAAGATAAATGCCCACAGAGAGCTGCCTCTCTCTTCTAGCGTTTAGATCTCATTAGGTGATAAGGTGATGTTTTGAACAGCATTAGCCTTCTGGCAACCTTGAAGGAGACCTACCAACACATTGAGGAGGTCAGCATGGGAAGAGAGAAAGAGTCTGGGTCCTTGAGAACACTGCTGAGTAGCAGAACCAACCACCTACATTATAAAGACTCCTTATTCTGTGAACACAGTAATTGCCTATTATTCAAGCCAATTTTAGAAGACTATTTTGTTATTTGCAGCCAAAAAGATGCTTAGTTCCCTTGTGTTAAATTAAAAGGCTATCAATAAGTTCCTTAAAAGAGTTGTTCTTTGAAAGATAGTTAATCCTATCCCTGAAAGGAAAAGCACGTACTCTTGCTGGTATAGCGGCAGGTGCAGTCACCCCTATCCAAAGACAGTTTGCACCAAAGGGCTATGGGACAGGCTAACCAGGATGAGGGCCTCCACTGCTGTCAGCCACCCTGTGATAGCAGACACAGTCAGGATGAGAAATCCAGA